AACAGACAGTTCTCCAAAAAGGAAATACAGGTGACCAACAGACACATGAAAAGATGCTCCACATCACTAATTATCAGAGAAATGCAAATTAAAACCACAATGAGGTATCACCTAACACGAGTAAGGATGGCCAACATCCAAAAGACAAGCAAGAGCAAATGTTGGCGAGGTTGTGGAGAAAGGGAAACCCTCTTTCACTGCTGTTGGGAATGTAAATTAGTTCAACCATTGTGGAAAGCAGTATGGAGGTTCTTCAGAATGCTCAAAATAGACTTACCATTTGACCCAGGAATTCCACTTCTAGGAATTTACCCTAAGAATGCAGCAGCTCAATTTGAAAAATACAGATGCACCCCTATGTTTATTGCAGAACTATTACAATAGCCAAGAATTGGAAGCAACCTAAATGTCCATCAGTAGATGAATGGATAAAGAAGATGTCATACATATACAAATGGAATATTACTCAGTCATAAGAAAAAAACAAACCCTACTATTTGCAACAACATGGATGGAGCTAGAGGGTATTATGCTCAGTGAAATAAGCCAGATGGAGAAGGACAAGTACCAAATGATTTAATTCATATGTGGAGTATAAGAACAAAGAAAAACTGAAGAAACAAAACAGCAGCAGAATCACAGAACCCAAGAATGGTCTAACGGTTATCAAAGTGAAAGGGACTGGGCAGGAGGGGGTGGGAAGGGAGGTATAAGGACAGGGTAAAGGAAAGGGGGCCTTATGATTAGCATGTATAATGTGGGGGGAGGCATAGGGAGGGATGTGCAACACAGAGAAGACAAGTAGTGAGTCTACAGCATCTTTCTATGCTGATGGACAGTGACTGTAATGGGGTTTTTTGGGGGGGACTTGGTGAAGGGGGGAGTCTAGTAACCATAATGTTCTTCAAGTAATTGTAGATTAATGATAATAAAATGAATAAAAAATAATCTAAGGAGAAGAGACATAATACGTGACAAAAAACAAAAAATGTGATGCTTAAGCCATCAGCTCAGATTTAGAGATTTTTTAAATCAGAAATTTACAAGGTATTTACACTTTATTAATATTTATTTTGTGGGCAAATTCCATTGAAAAAGATACCACTAAGGCATTGTCATATTTTAAAATTATTTTAAAATAACACATAGTACATGACTGAAGTATTACTTCATTGATACTAATTCATTGGGTCACAGTATAGATCCAGTGCATCTTATACTATGATATTTATACATATGCTTTCTTTATGTCTAAATTTGTATGTACTAAATGTATGTTCAATACTAAATATTCTGCAGGCTAATAAGACATTATGAAATATTTTTTCATATTCTAATAAATCAAAAGTCAGATAAAAATTTTGTTGTTCTTTGTTCATATTTCACACAGGACTTTGAAGGGACCAAGACAATAATCTGCATAGAGGATTTCCAATAGAGAGATTACAAGTCCAATATGAAGATGCCATTTTTTGAAACAAAATAATTTGCATTCTAATTAAGCAATTGCTTCCAACACAAGAAGCCCTCATTTGTAGCTTCTAGAATAATTTCTTCTGATCTAAGTGCTCATATTTTAACTTTATTTTGCATGATGTATTGTTTATTAAAAAATATGTTCTACATTAATGTTTGTATTTGTATTACTTAGCCTTAAAATTTAATATATACAATAAATATGATTTTTAATTGCAACATCCTTTCCCATTCATAGGTAAATTTTTGTAATTATTCTCTAAGGCATGATCATTTAGATTGCTCTCAGATACGAATTACACATTATCTTTTGACATTTTTGTGCATGAATCTTTCTTGATATCTCTGAATATTGCCTCAGAATAGAGCCCTATAAACGTCATTAGGTCAAAGAACTCTTAACCTCTGCATATGTAGGTAAATTGTAGCCTCCAATCATCTCTCTTTGAGAATGTCCTGCTTCTCACATATTTGAGGAGTTTAAAAAAAATTTTTTTAAATCATGCAAATAGAGGAGTCATAAATTTTTATAGTAATATCGAATTAAACTTACATAATATAATTTCTAAAACTACTTCCCTGAAAGTAAACTTTTCAGATGTTACTAAGTACACTTTTCTATAAAGGTTTAACTAAATACATCTTTGTAAGCTTTTGAAATCTTGGTCTCAGATTTTTTACTGTCTTTTCACCACCCCTTATCTTGATATATCCCATGCACTCAAATCTAAGTCTTTCTTCATGGAGACAGCTGGGACATTGGCCTGGTGGCATGTCTTTTATCTGTCATACCACTCCTACCCTCTTACTTGCTCAACATAGATTCATGGGCAAATATTCTAAGTACTCATCTCCACTGCACTCACACAATGACAACTCAACCCTGAAGAGCACCTCCAGGAAAATGAAGCAGCTGAAAGCAAAAAGCACTGCTCTGCTGAAGTCTCAAAATTCATGACCGCATTTTCTCAAGGGCTTACTCAATGTAGTGTACTGTGGTGTGGCATTCTGACTGGGGTGACAGATTCTGCGTTTATTTAAGAGTTAGCTGAGCAACTTTTATACCATGTTTGCATATCACAAGGGTGATAAAAATAAATTTTTCCATAAAGTTTTATTGTGAGTGTTAAATGAGCTTAATGATGTGAAGCATTTGTAAGTGCTGTGTACAGGCCCACCACTAGCCCCACTGTAGTTATTGTTATTTCTGCATTCTGAACTTTACATGGAATATTATCATTTGTTTTCTTCTTAGATATCCACTTTTACCTTCCACCATTCCTCTCAGCTGATAATTGTGCCATGACAATTTGACAAAAAAAGAAACTGTGGGGAGCTCTTTATATCCCCACCTCCAAATATATCAACTCAACTCCCACTCAAAACAAAATGGATGCAGGCAGGGGAAGGCACAGGGATGTGAATGTGTCAGCAAAGAAACAGCTGTCGGGCTCCACACAATAAAAGATATACTGATATACCCTGTACTTCAGCTCTTCCTGAATCTATTTACCACAGTCACTGCAGACCAAGTGTTATAAACAGAGATAGAATCCCTAAATTGAGAAAAGAGAGATTTTAAATAATAACATGAATGCAAACGGCATCAAAGGAAAATCAGTTCCATTTATCAAAGGCAAAAACTTCAGCAAACAGTAAAATACCCCAAAGTAAACAGAAAAATATAATCTAAAATAATTTAAATGTATGCCTCCTGAATTATGTGGAAGTACCTGATCCACAAGTTATTTGTGAAATTTTGGAAATTAAAATATGATGGGTGAAACAAATGAATCCATAAATGAATAACTTATGGTCAAAAGTGAGTGAGTAGTTAAAATATTAAATGAAAAAATCATCTCAGAATACAAAATTTTAATATAATGATATTAAAAAGTGATGGCCCTCATGGGAAATTTTTAAAAAATATTCTGAATAGATTTAGGCCTTTAATTATCCATATCACAGTGGTTTTAGAATAGGAGAAAAGAGATGATAAAACAAAATGAAAAATTTAGAAAAGACAATAAAAATAATTTTTTAAAGAGATAAAAGACTCGCTGATTTCTAATTGAGCAGGTGGTGGAAAGGATGACTAAGAAAAAAGTCTTGAAATTACAATCCATTCCATCTTAACACATGGATATGAAATGTTCATAATGCTTTGAATTTCATTCTAAATATCTGCTGGATTTCCACATGAAATATTTGCAGTATATTTTCTCATCCTCCTTGTCTTCCTCCTCCTATTCTCCTTCCTCTTAGTCACGGTGCTGAGCGTTTCATAACCAGAACTCATTTGCCTTAGAATACCTTTTATGTATAGTTTCATTCTGTATGTCATTTACCTTAGAATACTTTCTATACATAAGTTCCATTCTAGATGCCAGAAATCAGAAGTTGAATTAAACCAAATTAACTAACTTTGGGACTGGTTAATTGCCATATGTCTATAATATCCTGCTGAGTCCATACACTTATAGGTAAACCCCTTTCATGGATCAGCGAAGTCATCCTGTTGAGCAGCAATATGTGAATAACTTGTCTGTGTTACAAAATGTCATAAATAGAGTATAGTATAGAGCAATAGAACATCCAAACCGTTATAGTCTTCTGGTAATTATGTCCATTACTTTTCTCACATAGAAATAAACTGTCACTTCTCTGAAATCCCTTAACAATGTATATGTTCCTCTCTAGTGGCATGTAACTATCAGTTTGTACTTTTAGTAAAGGCATGCATATACATATATATATATACACATTTAGATTATAAACATCAGAAGAGGCTTTCCTATAGACTCCCCAGAGCTCTAAGCACACTCATAGACTTCATTTTCCTGAGCTGTAAAGCAGGTTTACTATCAGCATATCCTGTGGAGAAAAGTTGTAAGAAATAAAAAAGTTAACAGACATAAAGCCCTTAGAATATGGCCTATTCCCTAAATATATACTAATATTAGTTAAATAATTAGCCATTTTACAGCCATGCCATGAGTAAAAAATAAGAAGAAATTATTATGTACTAATGGCTTAGGACATCAAGTCTTTAAATAATGAAGGATACAAGGGGGATAATTGCAAGACAGTCTATATTGATCATCCATAATTAAAAATTACTTGTAGATTCAAACTCTTACTTAGGGATACTGGTAATGCATGGTAGAAAGCAGGAAGAATTTTAACCTGTGCTTTTATATTCCATGAAATACTATTCCTGGTATACTCAGAGTTAGAGAAACTATATGAAGAATTTGATCATCACAGGGACTCAGCCATTTAATAAAAAGTAGCTAGCACTTTGTTTTTTAATATTATTTATTCCTAAATTTGACATGTAAAGGATCCTCAAGAACATTTGTTTAAAAATTAAGAAATCACTACCTTCCACTGAAAAAATATCCATAGATTAAGTGGCATTGGGTTAAAGTGTAAAAGAAGATATTTAATTTCATGCATTTCAGTTATTTAAGCTTCTTAAGTTTATAAAAAACATTAAACAAAAATTCTCCCACATATTGTTTATTAATTATACCCAGTATAATGTCATCCCCTTTTCATAGCATATAATTTTCCATTAAGGACATAATTTTGCATTAGGAACAGTGGTAGGGTGTGCATTTCCACTTAGTGGAGAAGAGTCAGGTGAGCTGCTGATTTTCAGAAGGATTCCTCAAAATCCATCTGTGGAAATAAACACTCTAAGAGTGAATATTAGTCGTATCTTTTTGACCAACGTCATTTTCATTCTAGCTCAAGATAAGACACAAAGTAATTATCTATCTATGCATTTGGTATTGTTCTTGCATTCATCTTCACAAATGGATTTATTGAGAACAAGGCATCTCATGTAATACAGTTTGACATAGGAATGGACAAAGTTTGGACTTTTGCCCCAGAATATCCCTAAAGACTTTCCTTGTCATTGACTTGCATGCAGTTAACACTTCTGTCAATAGCCTTATGTTTGTAAGCCTAATACTGAAAGCAAAGTTGCTTTTTGACTTTTAGCAAATTTTGCTCTCATCATAATGCTTTGGATTTTTAAAAACTTATTCTTTCATTAGGGAGCAAATAATTGGTTTAATTTGCAAAACAGATCTGAATCAGCCCCTGAACAGTCTCTCTTTAACTTATCTGGTGCTGCTTTGTTCCTGTGAAGAGTCACTCCTTTCTTAAACTTGTTTTCTTTATCTTGACTACCATCTCAGAGTCATATCAGAAGAATTACTGTTCACAAAATGATGAACAAAAATGGTGACAACCCTGAAAGAATGTTGGATGCCTGAATGTCTCCTGTCACTTCCTAAATGTCTCAGTCCAATGGCCAATCTTTAAATCTTGATTCAGAAAATTACGTTACTACAGCCATTGAGCTATGGCCATATGAGAGATTACATACAAGTAATGAAAACCACAAGCTTCCAGTTTATATATTTATATAGCCTATGTGTCTTCAGTTTATATATTTATATTGCATATATAAATATAAATGTATAAAATTTATATAGCATATATTTAGCAGGGTGAAATATATGCTAAAGCCATGACTGGGCTGGGTGAAACATGATTCTGACATCACCTGTACATACTTATTGGTTCCTTTCCATGTGACCATATCTCTTTTCCCTCCCATTCTTGATACCAAGTGCTTCTAGTAGCCCAGAGCCTTCAAGATCTCTGTCAATTTTCCTGAGGGGCACATCTAATACAGCATTTCGATGACAAACTACAGCCAACTATAGGCAGAGTTTCCTTCACTGTTCTTCATGGCTCTGGGATTTCAAATGAATGGACTTATTTTAAAACATGTAAATCAATAGGAGATATTGAATTATATATTTTCTCCAAGAAAGCACATGCATATATGAACTGGTCTTCAAGCATTCAAATCAATTTAATATTAAACAAGAGATAGTTTTAGTAAAAGTGGAAAGCTCATGATATTAAGATTAGGAGGTTTCTGAGGATTTGGTGCTATCTAGTAACATCATGACACCCTGTCCTGGTCACATTCTCTTGTACTGATCTCAGAGGTGATGAAGAATGAAGCCAGCAGACAACAGTAGGGAGCAACCAGCAAAGTTTAATAAAAAAGTAAAAGTAGAAAAGTTCCCCCTAATTTGGAGGGGCCAGCAAAGATGTTAACAAAAAGTGAAAAGAAATACTCCCTCTAATCAGCAGGGGCTCCAAGAGAGGATGACACAGGAGCTGCAGTATCTAGGGTTCATAAGCTTCTTGAAAGGAGTAAGTCCTTGGAAGTGGCTGGGAGTTGTTTCTCGGGCCTGTTGCTAGGGCTGAGATGAGATTAGGAAACTCCCTTTTCCTCAAGATGAATTTTTGCAGATGTCCAGGATGAGGCTTCTTGTTTACTCTGAAGCCTTGACCCTAGTACCCCTCTGCTGTGCCTTACCAGGACCTTGAGCTCTACCTGCCTAAGTCCAGGCAGGGCCTTGAGTTCTATCTAACACCTGCCTCATTCTAGCACAAGACAGTCATTTCTCTGGCCATGAATCCAAAAGGAAGTTCTTCGTACTTTGTTGAAACAAAATTGTAAGATTGACTCTTAACTAAAACTAGGTGCTGTGGCTAAATCCTGATATTTGATGTTCATTTCAGTGTATGGTGACTCGGACCTAAGGATGCACTCCCTGATTTGTAAGCCACTTTAAAAGGCCTGGTATGGCTTTGTCAACTCAGACCACTCTCTAAATTTTAAATGTACTTCAGCATTATCTTCATGCCCTAAGGAATATTTTCCCTCACTCATTTTTTTTTCAATGAATAATAGTTAAATTTCCTTTTTGGGAAAAATTATGCAGCTTTGCCAAGTTGCAGTTATTTGAAAATAGTTGCTGTTCTGAATGATCAGGGTTGTTGGTGTGTGTATGTGTGTGTATGTTTTCATCTGCAGAGTGATATGTTGAAGTAGCTGATCCCAAAGACCCTTCCACTTTTATGGTTCTGTTTGTTTTCACTATCTACCTGACCACCACTTCAAGGAGGTGATGTACATAAACTCAAATTAACACCTAGTTTTATAATTGTTCTAGCATTATGCAAGTGTAGTCCTCTGATATTTGATTAATTGATAAGAAAGAAATATGAAGAGAGATAGTGTGATGTGGTGTAGAGACGTTATTTGGGCTAACATTCTAATTCCTTTTAAGGAACGTTAAGTCACTTAAGCAATCTTGTCATCTGCAAATGGAGATAACATTATCTATCCAAAGATATTTCAGAGTAAAGTGAAACAAGGGAGAATGTTAAAATGTTTGCAGAATTATAGAGCTGTATAATGCTAACTATTCATTGAAACATACTGCTTTGTTTAAACTTCTCTGTTGGGAGTTCAGAGGGTGATTGGGTTGCTTATAAAGTGAATAAACCTGGTAAACATCAGGAAAATGAGCTAAGAAAAAGGAAGAATTCATACAATAAATAAGACCAATATGACTATATTGTGTAAAAGAATGCCAAGTTGTCAGTGATGTTTATAAAAAATAGTTTTGTGTTATATAAATGGATACAAAGTTGGTAAATTAGTTCAAGGTCAAGGTGAAGGTATAGGGAAAATCAACCACACTGCATTACTCTGTCCATATTAAACTTGAATATGAGTTACCAGTATAATTTATTGATATGACAATACCAGGAAACTGTCTGAATACACTAAGCAATTGTGCTTCTGTAGAGATTTTTAAAATTATACAATATCAAGTTTTATATAAAAAATTAAATAGGAAATATTCTCATATTCACATTTCTGACTAAAGCTTTTATATATATGTAGAAATACTCCCACTAATCAGCAGGGGCTCCAAGAGGGATGACACTGGGGCTGCAGTGTCTAGGGTTCATAAGCTTCTTGAAAGGAGTAAGTCCTTGGAAGTGTCTGGGAGTTGTTGCTGGGGCCTGTTGCTAGGGCTGAGATGAAATTAGTAACTCCCATTAAAAAAATGACAAAGGATATAATCCAAAAGAGTGGAAGGTGAATACAAATTTTTTAAGCCAATCTAAGATGCTGTGGTAAGAGGATAGTAGTGCTGAAGACTTCAGGCCCCACAGCTTCCTACTTGAATGCCTTAGTCATATTTTCAGTTATCAACTTTCTCTGGATTTTTATTCTGGGAATTATTTATATGGGCTGTTCTACCCCATTTTGCTATCACCTTACTGGGAGCCAGACCATAAACATTCAAGCACATGCTATTTGTCATTGAAAAAGGACATACAAATTAGAAAAGTCTTGCAGAATCAGATGGAAGGACACTCAAGAATTAAAAAAGAAGAAATGGTCATTTTTAACAAAAGAATTTACCTAAACTATCTACTTTCTTAACCTTTCTTTCAAGAAACCAAAGTTCATGTTTTTGCTCAGGACGTGTTCCAAAATATTTTGCCAGTTAATTGTTGCTTTACTTCAAAGTCTGTCATCAAAATTGAAACTGTTGTACTGTTAGGCTTCAGTCCACAAAGGCTATTCAAAGACATTTAAAGGAACCCTGTCTTTAGTCATTGGACCTGAAGTCCTGCTTGGAATTATTTTCATTCTTTATTTTTATGATAAATTATCCTCCTCTTGGTGTGTAGATATCAGTTGGATCATAAGCAGTAGATAGACAAATGACACATCTTTGGAAACAGAAATACATGGCAATTTGTTGACATAAATATGTATCACCTTACACAGAGGAAGAGTAGAATTAAAGGCAGAGAATGGAATGCAATGTCAAAGGAAGGCCTGGACATCCATTCATCTTGGTCACTCTTCAGAAGTGCTGGATTTCCATTGACTGCTTATGTATTTGGCACTGTATTTCAGAATCTGGCTAATGGAGAAGGGCTGGATCAAAGAGGAGAGACACAGGTAGAGAAACTTGTTGCTGTGATTCTTTGAGCATGCTTTCCTCACCCTCACACCACTGCAAAGAAATAAATGCACATATTTATTTATTTATTTACTTACTTATTTACTTTTGCTGATTTTAGCAAAGGCAAATGTGTAAGACAGGAACAAGATTTTATCAATGCATTTGTTAGAGTATTTGTGATTTGCTGCTACTATCCATTTACGTTTTTATGATAACAGCACACATTTTTATTTTATAAGACTTTCTTTCCCACAGTTTATTCCATGGTATATGAGTCTATGAATTCAACCCATAGATCCAGAACTAGGCATTTACTGAAACTTCTGATCCCTTGGCCAAATTAATCAGTTCAGAGATGTACATTATCAGATTTCAAATTGGCTACATGTAAACATATTACCTACCTGCAGAACTAAACCCCCATGGAAACTGAGAATACTATTTTCCAACATTGGCATTTACATCAAACTGTTACACTAGAATGGTCTTATCCAGTGCAAAAATAACTTTATGGCTAGACAAAACCATTATCTTTGTGTTCAACATAGGTTTGAAGAAATTCAAGTTTCATGGCTTAGTAAATATAACAAACTTGCTTATAAATGAAGAATAATCAATGGAAGGTGCCCATAAATAGAAAAAATAAAGAGAATGCAGCACCTCTATCCAAGATTTGCTTTGCTTTTCAAAAACTTACAGATTTAACTCTTAAAAAATTAGGTTTTTAAATACAATTTCTAGTTTTTATAAAATAAACTTTAGTCTTTTTATATTTCAACTTACTTTATTTTTTCTGAGCTAATGAAAGGTTAAGTCATCAATGCATAAGTAACTATTAAAATGCAAAGATGATTTCCAGGGAGATGATTTCCAGCTCTCAAGGAGGTCAGCTTTCCATGTGCCTTTATTCCTGTGCAAGCAAAGGATACAGGAAGAAAGTGACAAAATGTTCTTTTTCTTTTTTCCAAACCAATTTGCTCAAGCTCACACTACAACACACATGAGCATACACATAATTTTCCCACAACATTTGCAGAAGTAATTCTCTTGGTGACAAAGTTAATGGAAGTATAATATAGTGGCTGCTGGTTGAAAATCAGAAGTGCTCCCAGATGAATAATGATGTAAACGTTCAAAACTACATTTTATTTTTAACCTATTTTTTCCCCAAACATGACATTTTCTTGCCAGTATTTAAGATATTTCACTACAAGGTTTTTAGTGTACTTAAAAGGCATCATATTTAAACACAGGGTTCTTAACCCTAACCTGTTAACTTCTTAGCTGAAAAATCATCAGCAGGCCTTTCTTGACAGATAAGAAAAAGCAAGGAACTGCGGGGCTTCTCATCTTGCTCCATGTTTCACTTTAAGAGGGAGTTCATTGCCTCCTAGGCGATGGGCAGTCTGCTACGGGCCGTGACTAAGAGTGATGACTAAGGTCTTTGCTGCCTTATCTCACCAAGCAGCTCCTTCTTTACTCACTCTCTCCCTCCTTGTCATTCTGTGTCTGTCACTTCCTCTGCTTCTGGCTCTCTCTAGGTCCACTTTCTTCCTTTCTCCCCATCTCTCTTACACCCAGTTTCTCATCTTTGTCTGGGTGCTATAGTAATGTTCACTGTGTTTCTGCTAGCCATGGTAGCAGATCTTGGTGTTTGAAGGTAAGCATAAGAGCCAACAATTTGGAAAGGAGATTTCAGTTTGCCAACTTCTTTTCAAACATCAAAAAGATGATAATCATGGTTTGCATCAAGTTTTTACAGTTCCAGATTTCCTGGCCATTAAACTCCACAAAGATTAATAACTGAGAGTATCTGAAATATGACAGGTTAATACATGAAGAATGAATAGGAGATTTATAAGGAAGAAGTTTATTTGCTTCTCAATATTGGGTACAGTTGGCTCCAAATATTCTAACTGAAGAACAGATGCCCAAGAAAGTATCAGGCTACACTCTCAGAAATTCATATATGCTATGATTTAAAGAGAAAACAAATGCTAAAGGGAAAAATATTTCTAATACAATATGGGAGAGGCAGTTCTTACAAAAATAAGGTTCTTAATGAAGCCCTCTGTCAATGCAGGAATTGTGGATTTCATAAATGATATTTCAGCAACACAGGAAATGCACTGAAGTGTGTGATATATATTTCAAGTTTCAGTGCTATATATTGAAAGACATTTAAAATTATATTCTTCATACTCTCTTTTGAATCTATTTTCATCAGTATCAATGTTGGAAATTATTTTCATGGATTACATTAATTCCCCAAATGGATTAAAGGGGAAAAAAATCATTTAAGGTCTACCTTACAGAAATTCAAACTTTGGAAGGTTTTTGCAAAGTAAGGAAGTTATGAAATGTTTGATGTGAAAATGGTTTTAAACAACTCAGCATGAAATTGACTTATGAGGTCTTTTGGTCTTAGTAACTGAATTCGTTCACAAAATTGTCTTCCTTAAGTGCCAAACATTCCACTTCCTATACACCCACTTCCTGAGATAGAGAGAAATGAAAACTAAACAGCCAGCCACACAGTTTAACAATATTTTATCCAAGCATTGTTGTTTATCCAGTTATAACTGACCATTTCACACTTGAATATATTTCATCTGGAGCCAAAAGTATTCAACAGTAAAATGCAATAAATAGCCCTGTAGGAAATGTTCTTAAGGACTCAATCTAGTGACAGGTTGAACACTGCATGGGCATGAATTCAGTCTCTCAATTGCACACTGGTATAGTCAGTAAAATTTCTAATCACAGGTATTTCATTTATTAAGAATTACACATTTTCCCAACTCCTACATTGCCAGAAGGCAAAAATTGGTCCCCACTCTTCTGCATTACACTTCTGCTCAGGCTACACAAGAAAAAAACATCTTATAGAGGCAACAGGAAAACTTAAAGAGGAGCCTACCTCCCTAGGAGAGAGATCTGAGCATGTAGCCATCGACAGCATCTACTCAAGTCCAAGCTTTGGCGAGGCTGTATCATGGTCCTAGATCAAGAGCTTCCAGGGCCTGGAATCAGAGCTGGAGATGCCATGAAGGTTTGCTGTGGGAGGGAGACAACGCAAACAGCTACCTGGAGAGAGGAAAGGAGGAGTTTCGGCACATGTGGAGGAAAGCACAGAAGAGGACACGATATATATGCCTTATAAACTCCCCCCTTAAAAATACAAAAACTGCACATAACTGTCAAGTGACCCTTTTAGTGAAAAAGCTCTATGTATTTATTATGAAATAAGATACAAACAATGTATAAGGAGTTGTTTCAAACAAGGAAATCTGAAGGAAAGGGAGGTTTATCTTTACAAACTCACAGAGACGGGAGTCTCTAAAGAAAATGCTTTGCAGCAATTAAGCAGGAAGGAGTTTTTATAGCTTTTGGGGGACGGAGACATTCTGAGGACAAATTGCAGATGTTTTGGGAATGGAAGCCACCTTTCAGGCATTGTGACATAGCACTTTTCAGCAAAACAGAATGTTGGTTGGCATGAAGGTAAACAAAATGACACTCCTGCTGTCCCTGGAGAAGGACACAGAGTTTTCCTCAGTGACATAACTCTAATGGGAGCCAAGTGATATTTTGCAGCTGTTGTGAATGGAGCTGTGGGTACAAGTCATGAGAACAGAGGGATCCCAGATAGGCAAGAAAACAAATTATATAGCAAAATATAGAACTTCAGGATAAAAGCATACCCCCGTGTTAATAGCTTCCTTGAAAGTTCACTTTCCCGTCACCTCTCACTGCCTCTGGCAGGTAACCACAATTGTTTCCACACTTAGTCAAGGTATAAACTTCAAATAAAATAAGTATCACAACATTTTTTAGTATCCTTTGACCTGTTTTAATTCTTGTATAAAGAGGATAACAGTACATGTAAACTTGAGTAATTGTTTTTTATTTTCAAAAGTATGTTTTTGAGTTTCATTCATGTTGAAGGTGTAGCCCTGAATTCATATATTTTCCACGTTGGAGAGCTTCCTTAAGGAATATACAACTTGTTTATACATTTGCAAACTGATGGAATATAGACTTTAAAAAATAATTTTGGCAATTACTAGCAAAACTGTAGTGTATATCTGTTGATATATATGTGTGAATTTTTTAATGCTAGTTTAGATTTTTATCTCCAAGGTGGAGATACCAAGTAGACCCCCTCCAGCCATATGTAATGATTTCTGTGGCTATGCAACCTGTCAACACTTAGTACTATCATATGTTTTATTATTTTAAAACCAATATGTACCAACTACTATTTAAGTTAATAATTTCCAGTTTTCTAATCATTACTGAGTTTGAAAATGTTTTCATATGTTTTTTGACTGTTCTGTTAACTGTCTTGTAGATTTGATGCTTATATTTTTTGCCCAGTTTATTACCTGTGGTAGTTCTCAGATATGTTCTGGAAACCATTATCTTGCCTGTTATATGTGTTTTTAAAAATCTTCACTTTCTATAGCATTTGAGTCAACAGTTTTTTCTTTAATTTCAACATAAAAAAATTAACTCATCTTTTGTTTCATGATTATACTTTGCTCACATCATGTAACTTTTTAAAGAAATTATTTTCTAAATCAAAATAAAAGTTCATTACTCTTAACTTATGTCTAAAAATTTTGAAAGGTATATAACTTTCATCCTTGTGTTATATCTCTACTTGCAGAAGATATGCCCCTCTTCAGGATCCAGTATCCTTTTTGATATAATGGTATGAAAAAGTTGTATCTATCACATCACAGCCAGAAGTAAATATTTCCTGGCCAATGACTGTCTGCTTTTTCCTTTACACACACACACATACACACAAGCACACACACATAGACAGAGGCACGCACACACATACATCCACCTGGTGATCCTTTGAGAGACTCTTTCTTGTTCATTACTCCTCTTACACAAGAATGGAAGAATTTTGAATCTTGAAGGCAACCCTTTATTAAAAAATGAGCCCAAACTGTTACCTCTCCCCTAGTTTACAACTTTAGGAGAAGCATCTTTAGCTTGCTTTAGGAAAACACCTTATGATTTCAAATTTATATTATTCTGTAACCTCCCAGTTTTTACCCAGTTTTCCTTTTGTCAGAGAACCAGTTCTATTTTCATGATGAAATCAGAACCAAATCAGACTCAACAGATACTTTTTTCTATTTGTAATGTTTTACCTCTGATTCAGAAAATTAATGGAAGTTCAAACAAAATCTTAATGGTGGTGGGAAGGAGGAAAACATGACCAAGTCATTCTCATTTTTCTGGACAAAGAATTATAAGTAGCTCAAAAAATTTGTAAAAGAAAAGCAATAGTAAATTTTAATACCAGATATGGAATATTTTATTAAACACCAATAATCCATACTGTGCAACCACTCCACAATTGAGAGTGAACTTGAATATGAAAAACTCCTAGGAACAAACAAGTATTTATAGTAAAAGAATATTTTATAATAGTAAAGGCCAACCTCTTATAAGTTGTGTTGTAATAACAACTTGATTAATGATTATTTTATAATGATACTGGGAAAATATTCTCTAGCTCACATGAGTCAAGTCATTTCCAAAGAATTAATAACATTATGAAGAATGAATCAATGATACAACTCAAAGAAAATTATAATGTTTATAAGTTATTTGAATTGGAATGATTTTAAAGAATAAGTTAGTGGGAAGAAAGTGTAAAATTATATATTTAATATGTGAAAATTTGAAAATTTGTGCATAAAAAATATGAATCAACTAAATAGCAACTGAATAAGTTGAAAAATACTTACAAATTTTTTTCAAAGCAATGTATTTCATGTAGAATGTATAATATAAAATTAATAATACTCATAAACTATAATATATAATATAAACATACCCATACATACTATATA